TTCGTGTCCTATTGACCCACTTTTTATTTTGAAACATGTTATTTCCTGGTACATATTCACTGTTCAGTTGCCACATCTTAGCATCTGTTCACTGTTGAAAAACTATCATATTTGCCATCTTTAAAAACCAATAAATATAATTTGTGATTCAGGCTAGGTTATTTTAAAAAAACAACTTGAGATTAGAGGGTTTGAAATACCAGTGGACCAGATACTGGGTAACTCTTTCCTCCATAGTGTAAATATTCCACTCTGCCTTTATCAAAGTTTGATAGTAATGTTATTAGTGTTGCTGTACAAATCCACTTCACACTGTGGTGGTGTGTTTTTCCCTTTGAAACAGCAAACTTACCATAAGAAACACTTGGATAGTGGTGGAAGACTTTTCTCTTAGTGTCTCTTAATCTTTCTGGGTGTAGGGGAAAGGTGTTTTATCAACAATCAGGTGAATAGTATGACTCTCTGCTTTGCATCATGTTGTTTTTTTCTTTTTTTTAAATCTAGCTTTAATTCTCCCTCTTTCTTTCTTTACACGCATACCCCTTGTGCATCACATTACATGATTCTTCACATTCAACACTAGTAAAATGTTAACCTGAGCTTGGCTGAGCCTTCCAGTACCCAGCTGCCAATGATGAAGCCTCCATGCTACTTCTTTGTTCCCTTTCACCCTTATGCTAAAGATATATCAAATTGCTTCAGACTTTCCAAAAGAGTTACTTTAAATAAATGTATGAATGATTAAAGCTAATAAATATTTTAGTTCACCCATGTCTATTTTACAGTCTTGCTCTTTTACCCTCTTGATTCTACTTGCCCCCGTTCAGTGAAGCCCTAATAAGATTATAGAGTTGCAATAGGAAGTTTGTTTCTGTTTAAAAAAAAAAAAGAAAAGATTTTTTTCTGGCATTAAAAGTACTAATCCCAGCAGAAAGAACCCACCACTGTCTGTTCCTTGCCTCCTGCAATAGTATGTCTATTTAGGGGAACAAAATAAAACTCATTCTTTGGAAAAACACAGTAATTAATAAGGGGAGAGGAGGATGTTTGGTTGGCTTTTGTCAATGCTGTATATTTTCTTAATGACATTTGACATTTTACCCTTGTACAGAGGGCCAGGCTTAGGCCAATGTACATCTTATATTCCACTTCAAAAGTTCAAAATAGAAATGTTTTGGTAATGCAGTCACTTCAAAGATGTATCTTCGTATTGCAATATATTTCCATCATGATTTTTTTATGATAGAAGTCCGAAATGTGCATTTTAATACACTGTGCTCCTGGATTCCTTTATGGTGGAGGCTATGGATTTTGATGACCCTAAATCAAGAATTAATTTACTCCCTTTTTGTATTTCCAAGTCCCAAATGGCCTCCTGCTATTCACAATATATTTCATTTAGCTGCTTATTATTAATTATGCTTCTAGAATCTCATTCTACAAACATATTTAAATGTCTTCAATTAATTTCTGAAGGGCGGTGGCCCTGTAATATTATAGCTTAGGTTTGCATGTTGGATACCAAAAACTGAAAAAACTGTTTTTAAGTGCCATAGCACCATCACACATTGTGCTACACTGCATTAAGCGAAGGAATGCTGTGCTTTGGCAAAAGGTTGTTTGTTTTTTTAACTAGTGTTGCCAGATAAGTGCATTTTTATCATGAACTTGAAACAATCTTAAATACTATATAAAATATTGTTGTGGGCTGGTCAGAATGCAGTTTTAGGGGGTTCATATGCTTTTAATATATGGTTTAATCCGCCTTCCAAATAAATCATCATCAAGTCTTCCACTAATTTCCATGGATGTAGAATGAGGCCCATAGTCAGAACCCCAGAACTGATGCATAATGTGGTGACTACTTCTGGTTTATTGTCATTTTGAATATTGCTGTCTTTAAAATGTGCCTTTTTCACACCCTAAATATTACTCTCCCAAGGATGAAGCTACAGGTACAGTAGAATACATTTATGAATTAATGAATTCTAGTAGTGTAGGAGCTGTAAAATACCTTGATTAATAGGTCATGAATGTAATCTGTTTTGTTTGCCTGTTGTTGATGTAGTTATCTAAAGATCTCTAGATAATTGCTATCCCTTGCCATTAGTCACTGGTAGTATATTCTGGTATCTTCTTATCACCCTTTTCTATTTCAATTCAGCACAAAAATATTCAGTGCTCTCTTCTGAGCTTTTTCCATTGTGTTGATCAGCATGTAGCTTAAATGTACACTTCTTTTCACTTCTGGTTATTCCCAGTGGCATAGATGATGTAATTATGGGAAAGAGTGGTACCTCCTTATAGTGGAGAAGAATTTAGGGAACAGGCTTGTTGGGTGGGTCCCATTTTGACCGGCTGCATATGTCTAGGTTGTTTTTTTATGTGGCCAGTGTATTTAGTAAGCCTAGATATGTCTAAAAGCCACAATTCTTTTTGTCATAAGACAAAATTTTATAAAAACAAAATCTAGAAGTAGTAGTTGCAAAACTATACTGGGACTGGGATTTGACTCTAGAGGAATTAAATAAGTGTGTCCAGGTATTTAGTTGAGGAAAGAACTACCCAGAACTCACTGGCTGACTTTGGTTGGTTGCTGTTTTGTGTTTTGTTCCTCTTTAAAGGTTCTGCCACTCTGCATCATTGGCAGCAGCTCGCTCAGCCCCACCTTGGGGGAATTTTGGACCCAAGGCCTGGGGTTGTCACGAAGGGCTTCAGAACTCTGGACCTTGACGTGGATGAAGTGTACTGCCTTAATGACTTTGAGGAAGATGAGACAGGTGACATTTCTTACAAGGGCCTAACTACCTCGACGCCAGTTCAGCACACAGAGACCTCAGGTGAGAGGTCACAAGCACAAGTGACTGTTTCAGACAGCAAGAATAATCCAAGCCAGTCTCAGGCTTTCACAGAGGAGATGCAGGACTCCACGACTGCCGGTGATGAGGGGTCTGGTGAGGGAAACTCATTAAGTCCAGTAAAACTGACATCTTTACAGGATGTTGATTACTGGGCCATTCTTGCATCTCTCCAGAGCAGCATCCATAGTGTCGCTTTATGTGCAGCTTCTGCACGTTAACGTGTTTGTTAATTAAAGCATATCCATTCTAACATTAGCTCAAAAATCTTTCCCTAAAATCCTTTAAATTGTTTTACCTTTTTTAAGGCACATGGCTAATGTATTCCTATATTTTGATAAGAGAAGGCTGCTAAAAGGAATTAATTTATCTGTATGATTGAAAAAGACTAGGCTTTGTAATATTTCTTCAGGGTATGGTATGTATAGTGTACATTGTGTGTATAATACAAATAATTTAATGTTTTTCTGTGTCCAAAAGTGAAGGTGCCATTCTCCTTGAATTTTTTTTGAGAAAGATGGACCCTCCAGAAGTAAACTATGTTTAAAAAAAATGAACCTAAGTTAATTTTTCTTGGAAACTAGTGAATATGCCTCCCCTGAGAAATTTAAGTACAGGATTTCACAAATTAAGTTTACATTTACTAAAGTTTGCATTTCTTTAAGTTTATCCCATAAAGGCTGTCTCTAGTAAAAGAATTAAAGGGATTTTGCATACCGAAGAACCACTAATAAGTCTCCGTTGCACCAAACCATTCCTAAATTCCGTCCTCTGGACTTAAAGCATCTTGGGGCTTAGCACTAAATCACTTAGTCATATGAACTGTACATGTTACATTTTATCAGCTGTGTCTCTCAGTTCATAGCTATGCAGCCTCACAATGTAGATATAAGGAGCTTATTTTACATAGAGTTTGTCTTAACATGGATTCCAGTTTGGAGAAAAATGTACCGTTTTGCATGTAACAGTTTTACTTTTTTGTGGTTTAATATTAAGCAATTTTTTTTTACCAGTACCAGCCCTGGCCAATATTAGGGTTCCATCAAAAGTGTCTGATTTATATTGGGGGAACTTATTTCCTGAAATGAAATTTATATTATAAGTGTGCAACCAATGGAAAATAAATAGCTTTTCAGTTCTGCATCCTAAATGGTGATTTGGACCTTCTGTGAAGCGCTGAGCCTCCTCAACTCATACTGAGACAAATGGGAGTGAGGCATTCAGCACATCCCCGAGTTGAATGTAAGCTTCAGTTCTTCCTCTAAATCATAATAGGATTGGACTCTCTTGTGTTCAGTTTTTGCAGCTTCTGTTGCAAATACAGATATGGACTTTAATCTTTTGAAATGCATTGTCTGATAATTGGTATGTCTTCTGAAGAAGAAAAGTATATATTGGAATGCTGGCTGTAATTAAACCTGGTGGGAAAGATTGTGTGAGTGTGAGTGTGAGTGTGAGTGTGAGTGTGTGTGTGTGTGTGTGTGTGTGTGTGTGCGCGTGCGCATGCTCCCCTTCTCTTTGCAAATTGAGTTCAGGTAATTTAGAAACAAGATACTCCCTGGCTTCTCCTTTTCTAGCCATGGAGACTTGGACTATTTAGGACAGTCTTTGCATGTTCACCGATTTAGAAATTGTTAAAGCCAAACCTTAAGCATCTGAGTTAGTCCTACTAGTAATCGTGTTGAGCTCAGTTGGACAGCAGCTAAGTCAGGGGTGGGCAAAATACAGCCTGTGAACTGGATCCAGCCTGCCAAGCGATTTTATCTGGCCCATGGTGGGTCCCCTTGGTCCTGCCCAGTCTGGGCCAGGGTGTTTGCAGCTGGTCCTGCCATCCCCAGGTATGCAGTGGGGCTGGAGCTGGGGCAGCATGGCAGCCAGACTCACTTCCCAGCAGTCCCTGAAGAGGCAGCTCCTTTTAGGTGCAAGCTGCCACAGCTGCTGCTGGACCTAGCCCTGCTATCCAGGCACCGCAGCCTGTCCACCGTGAACCAACTGCCAGGGGTGCCGGACAGACGGAGCAGGCAGGTTGGTAGGTCTTCATGGAGACCAGCTTGGAACCTGCACAGGCAGCGTGCACTGGGCCCAGGACACATGGGACAGGGCCTTTGGGGGGCAGGGAGTGGCATCTGGCAAAGAAACAGGTGGGGCCAGGGCCTGGGGCAGAGCCATGATCTACTGCTTTCACATCCGTGTGACAGGTGCCAGTTCCACAGGCAGGCGCACAGCGGGAACAGATTGTGGCTCGGCCCTGACCCTGCCCTGCGATCCTGGTTCTAGCCCCACTTGCCTGTCCTACTCCTGGATGCCGCTCCTGAACACGGCTTCCCACTGTGCCATGGCCCCATCCCATCCACCTGGCCAAGGACATCCTGCCCACATGGGTCCTGGACCAGTCTTCATGGAGACCCCAAGATCACTGGGTGGTGACGGCACCAACCCTGTGCTGCCATGGGCCCCACAATCCTGATCCCAGCCTTAGCCCTGCCTGCTTGTCTCACTCTCAGATGCCATTCCCCACCTGCCTGCCACCCCAACGCATCCACCTGGCCAAATGCAGGGCAGAGCCACTTATGGCAGCAGTTCCCAAACTGTGACAGATTGTGCATCACCAATTTAAAATGATACAACCTTAAGTACCACCATCAAATTTTTCTCATATAAAGTAATTATAATAAATCTGTTAATGTGTACCACTGACAGGTTGCGTACCACTTGTTGTACCCATCCCACAGATTGGGAACCGCTGACTTAGGTGTTTTGGTAAGCTGCT